TCAGATACCCATATCCTCGTTGGACTTCACCCAAGTCTGTTCTGCAACCCGACCTAATTAATTTCGAACACCATCAAAATCCATTCATTTACCACCCAAAACGGTGTATCAAATTATGGTTATATCCGTGCCTAAATCCAAATTACTTCTTCTGTATCAATTTTGAGTCAAATTTGGGAATCGTCTGGTGAATTGTGAGGCAGATAGTATCATATGCATGGTACTATAATCAGAATGCNAATCGTGTGGTGAATTGTGAGGCAGATAGTATCACATGCATGGTACTATAATCAGAATGACAATGGCCCCTCCAATCATTAGGTTATGAAATGCATTACTTCTATTATTGTTGGCTTGTTTGCTGTATTGTTTTATTTGGATAAATTAAGCTGATATACAAGCAAAAAATAATATGGCAACCATTAAATAAAACAAAATTTTGCAAATATTTCTTGACAGTTTAGAAATATGGTGTAAGAGATACAATAATCATTTGAAAAAAAAAATTAATTTTCCGTTTTGCTTTATTTAATTCTTTTAATTTAGTCTAGTAAAGGGATAAATATTCAAATNTATTTCTTGACAGTTTAGAAATATGGTGTAAGAGATACAATAATCATTTGAAAAAAAAAATTAATTTTCCGTTTTGCTTTATTTAATTCTTTTAATTTAGTCGAGTAAAAGGATAAATATTCAAATCATAGAAGAGAAATTAGTGTATCCCGCACTTACTGTAACTCAGATTTTAGTTTTTTTTTTCTATTATATTTTCTTTCAAATTTCTTCAGTAGATCACTATCATGAATTCAATTACTACCTGTTCTATATAAGTGATTTTTTTTATCTATTAATGACTTATTATTTTAGAAGTTAAAAAAAAAAACCAAATATTAGTAGCANCACTATCATGAATTCAATTACTACCTGTTCTATATAAGTGATTTTTTTTATCTATTAGTGACTTATTATTTTAGAAGTTAAAAAAAAAAACCAAATATTAGTAGCTGGCATGAATACCACCAAACCAACCAATGCACCTATTCATTTTGAAGGGGAATATAAAGTCTCCCATTCCGGCAGAAGCAGAAAATTCAAACTTGATCAATGAGAGTGAGTGATTGCCAGAAATATTATGGCCTTGTGCGCACATTGCTACGTCAACAAAATACAAGCAGAGATCCGACTTTCGCCTGCAATTTTTGATCTATATCCGCCAAATAACCCACCCCTATTTCTCGTAATTAACCCGCACCCATAATCTACTGGTATGGAGTTATTTTTTTAGACGAATGGTAAATTTAGATGTCTTATTTTTGACTCACACTTGCATGTTACCAAGTTTATTTCATGTTTTTTTGTTTAACGATTAAAGATGTTCAAGCCAGTTTACGCACATCTCGATTAATTCCCTTTCCAATCCGGTCATAGACGGAGCATTCACGATGGAACTAGGGTATTCACGAGGGATAAATCTTTCACAACNATGTTCAAGCCAGTTTACGCACATCTCGATTAATTCCCTTTCCAATCCGGTCATAGACGGAGCATTCACGATGAAACTAGGGTATTCACGAGGGATAAATCTCTCACAATNTCTTATTTTTGACTCACACTTGCATGTTACCAAGTTTATTTCATGTTTTTTTGTTTAACGATTAAAGATGTTCAAGCCAGTTTACGCACATCTCGATTAATTCCCTTTCCAATCCGGTCATAGACGGAGCATTCACGATGGAACTAGGGTATTCACGAGGGATAAATCTTTCACAACTGACCCCAAGAGATTGCTAAAATTTAAATTTAAGATGTCTTGATTTACAACTCGTCTCTGTTACCACTTAAAAGTTTATCTAGAAAAATAAGTTATGCATGGTGCTATATATATTAGTCATTACACGTGTCCCGAAGGCACTCTTAATACAAAAAATTGACGAAGGCACTCTTAACACAGAAAATTCTCCAAGCAAATGGGGATCCAAAGAAATTCTTAAATAAAAGAAATTCAAGGGTTGAAATGAAGAAGAATTATATAACATTAATACAATTCAAGAATTCCCATGAACTAACTAACACCATTACAAAATTATCATGTCATAAATTTCTTCATGTCGACTCTTTTTGTCCACCAGATAAGTGTTCATTTTTTCAACCTCTGGTTAAATCTAATGAATATGCGTCTAATTTTAATAAGGAATATTAATTAAAAACACACAATTGAATCACTGAATCCAATCAAACGAATTAATCACATTAAACTACAAATCAAATATCCAAAAAATAGAGAAAAGTTCAACTGAACTAACATTACCCAACGGATCTGCTTGTAGCTGCGAGGACAATTAATTTAAATTCTCTGATGTTGTGACTTCTCGGATTTTACATCTCACGCTGCAATTAAACCAAATCAACAAAATTAAAATTTCAACACTTCAAAAAAAAAAATTATTTAACTGATCTTTTTTCATTTCGGTGTTTATTTTGCACTACTCAAATATTAAAAAAAATATGAACATTAGCAAGAGAAAAATGATGCAAATAAGGGAAAAAAATGTTATAGTTGGTTTTCAATTTTTTGACAATTGCTTTCACTTATTTTTTTATTGGTAATTAACTTGACTTTGAATTTTTAGTTTTTTTTTTGGTACAATTGACATCACTTATTATTTTTTATTGGTGATTAGCTTAACTCTGATTTTTTTTTTGATGCAATTGATATCAATTATTTTTTTATTGGTGATTAGGTTGGTTCTGATTTTTTTTTTTGGTGCAATTAATGTCACTTGTTTTTTTTTAATTGATAATTAGCTTGACTTTAAATTTTTTTGAGTAAAAAAGTCCAATTAGGATCATTAAAACAAACAATGTTAAGAGAGAGAGAGAAAAAGAAATATGAAAGAGAGAGAGAGAGAGAGAGATAATTAAATGAGAAATGGAAGAGTGTGTCTAAAAGAAATATGAAATAGAGACAGAGAATTATATGAGAAATAGGAGAGTGTGTATCTAAAAGAAATATGAAATAGAGACAGAGAAATGGGAGTGTGTTTAAAATATCAGAGAGAGAGAGAGAGTTATATATATGACAGTTGGGTGTATGAGATAAAGAATAAGAAAGTGATAGTGTATTTAAAACGTTTAAGAGATAAATAGAGAGAGAGAGAGTTATATGAGAATAGGAGTGTTAGAGTTAAGTTCAATTATGACCGTCGGATCAATATTTATGAGATGATCTGAACTGTCTTTTATGTTGTAATTATGTTGTCTATTGAATATGTTTATAGTAATGCTACATTGACCAAATTTTGGGACCAAATTTGGAGCCCAAATGACATGACAGTTGATTTGAGTTTCTTTATTTTGTGTCATATCATTTGAGTTCCAATAAAAATTTTAAATAATATATTGTTATGTCATTTGAGCTCCAAATTTGGTCCCAAAATTTGGTTAATATAGTATTATTGATATGTTTATGTTTTATCTCAAAACGATCTGGACCTCTATTTGTCTCNAGAGAGAGAGAGTTATATATATGACAGTTGGGTGTATGAGATAAAGAATAAGAAAGTTATATGAGAGATGAGAGTCTTAGAGTTGTAAAAAGAATAAAAGTCCAACTTTGATTATTGGATCAAAAGTTGGGAAATGATTTGAACAGCGAAAAGCTCAAGACAAATAAATTTAATTACTTTATTATATAGATATATATATATATATCTATATAGAGAGAGAGAGAGGAGATAAGATAGTGTATTTAAAACGTTTAAGAGATAAATAGAGAGAGAGAGAGTTATATGAGAATTGGAGTGTTAGAGTTAAGTTCAATTATGACTGTCGGATCAATATTTATGAGATGATCTGAACTGTCTTTTATGTTGTAATTACGTTGTCTATTGAATATGTTTATAGTAATGCTACATTGACCAAATTTTCGGACCAAATTTGGAGCCCAAATGACATGACAGTTGATTTGAATTTCTTTATTTGGTGTCATATCATTTGAGTTTCAATAAAAATTTTAAATAATATATTGTTATGTCATTTAAGCTTCAAATTTGGTCCAAAAATTTGGTTAATATAGCATTATTGATATGTTTATGTTTTATCTCAAAACGATCTGGACCTCTATTTGTCTCCAAAATTCAAATTCAACTCTACTTTATTTTATATATATATATATATATATTAAGTTAAGCACATGTCAAGCAATCCAAATCAAATTTAACTTCCATGTCTATGGACAATCCAGTCATTTCTTAGCATACAATAAGCTTATATATAATCACTCCACATATTGGTCAAGAAATATTGTACCTCAACACCGCGTAACTATCTACAAAAAATTCTATTACACCTAAGTCAGGATCGAAGATAAATTCTCATCTCGTACTTTAGGCTCATATATATCCTCGTGACCATCCACCAATCTGATGTGGCACATGACCTCTGTTTTTTTTTTTTTAATAGTCATGTCTTAAGCAACTTTTGTGCACTTTAACTAATTTCTTTTTCAATTCAGTTAAAAACAGATCATTCACGTCAAAATTAAGATATTTATAAGAAATAAATCTGTTATAACCTGATCCTAAAAAATTATCAAAATTCGAATTCAAAACATTTATATTTTTATATCTCGTCATTTTTATCACTCGAGATACAAGTGAGTTTCTCTTTTCTCTATTTCTCTCCATATCTTTCTCTATCCTAGAATATAGACCAGATCAAACATACATAACATTAAGAAACCGGCCTAAACCACTTAAAAAATATCAATTTATACACGTAGCCAATAACTGTACATATTTATATCCAATTTTTCTATTTTGCTTGTATTATAGTAATCCCTATATTCCATTGACTTATTCTCTTTAAATATTCATGTCAGCTCGTATATTTTCTTGGTTTTGCATTGAAAAAACAATGCCTTTACCATCATCATCTTCATCACCACCACCTTCTTTTCCTTTCTCTCTCCTTCTCATCATTGACTCTTCATCAACACCACCATGGACATGCCGGACTTCTCGAGCGGACGGTCACCGCGGAGAGAGATCCAACTCCAGGGACCCCGGCCGGCACCTCTCAAAGTAAGTAAAGACTCACACAAGATCAGAAAACCTCATTTGGCACCACCACAACAGCCTCAACCACAAGCTCAACACCGGCCACCGGTGATAATCTACACAGTCTCTCCCAAGGTAATTCACGCCAAACCTAGTGAGTTCATGACATTGGTGCAACGTCTCACCGGCCCATCGCCGGATTTGTCTTCATCTCCGGCCACTTCATCGTCTTATTTTCAAGATAATAATGGTGCAATATCGCCGGCGGCTCGGTTTGCTTCCACAGAAAAAACTAAGTCCCCACAAGGGAAGAGACCACAAAATGGTGATGTGGGCATGGTTGAAGGGATAGAGATAAGCACAGAGGTGGAGGGAACGGCGTCGTTTCCGGGTATTTTGTCCCCTAATCCTTCTTCTCTTCCGACCATCCCACCAAACTTTTTCTCTCCTTCATCTACAGATCCAAATTCTCTAAGCTTTTTTTATGATTTGAGCCCTGTGTTACAAGGTAATAGGAATTACACAGAGGGTAGTTTCATGCCTAGTCCTTCCAATTTTCTCTCTCCTAACCTAACTTCCCCAACACCGCCTCTAGATTTCTTTAACAATTTCTTAGATTTTTAACCCTTTAGAATCAGAAAAAAAGAGAAAAAGGTTTAGTTTTTGTTTTGGGTAACTTCATCGGTGAGGATAATCTTTCTTGAAATCAGATCTGGTCCTCAGATATTTATCTTTTATTAATATTTTAATTTTGACGGGTGTGAATGATCTATTTTTATTAGACCGGAATTTTTTTTTTAACTGCAGTACGTATAAATTAACCCAAAATTTCCTCATGGTTCAACCCAAAAAAATGGTGAGAGGATACACAGGCCAGAAGGGAGCTAATTGGAAATTTGGATTTCTTATTGGGAACTTTTCTATTTTTAATTAAAATGGTGGGCCCACAAATGATGGAGGCAGTTTGGCCTTAAATATCTTTCTTTATGTTTGTGATTCCTCATCCTTTTTTCTATGACCATTTCTTGTCGTATACTTTGTGGCATGTAATTTGCAACATAACATATCAATTGTTTGTTATTTTTTGTTTTATATGCTTCTTCCACATATGTTTACTTGGTCTTCTTGCAATCCTTGAAATGGCTCTTTGAATTCCACTTATTGTGTGTTATTTTGTTTCATGTGTTGGTGCAAAATTTAGCCATTAAAAGGACATGCATATGCATGGAATAGAGTATAGTTTCTTTTGAATTATTTTTAGCCTAGAGATTAGGTGTGTGAATGGATCGAGTTTGGATTGATCCGAATTCGAATTGAACTAATCTGATGAATTTTTATTTTTGTGATCCATATCCGAATTTGTTAATATTCTAAAATCTGACACGAATAACATAATTTACCTAAAGTTTAATAAATTACATCTAAATTTCTTCAAATAATTACTTAGTTTATTTAATATTATACAAAAATATATAAATATTTCAAATCGAATATATGTATATCCAAATTCAAATTTGTAAAATACAAAATATCGAATTTGGGTTAGGGTTTAGATAATCGATAAAAAAAAATATCAACTAATATCTAACTAATTAGATTTGGGTTCAATTCAGATTTAAATCAAAATTCGATTCATTGGCAAGCCTACTTATGACATCGTCTTATATGAGATCACGAGATCAAATCTAATGAAGGACGAGTTGGTCTTTCGTATTTCTCCTCTTGTATCCTTTTATGTGCATTCTAGATGCCAAGTTTAACTTAATTTTTAATCAATGGTAGATCATTTATTGTATATGAATAAGTGGTCTACTTATAAAAGTGGGTCACACTTAAATTCAATTTTTAAATGAAATTGAATAAAAGTATAACAAAGAGAATCTTAACCAATAGATTCTCTCTTAACCCCCTTCGTGAATCGGGTGCTCCATCTTTTTGAGGTTTGGGTGTGTTACTTATAATCGATAGTAAGAGTAATGCTAATTGAACTTAAATTAAGGACCTAATTCAATGTAATAATTAAATTAGTTGTGAGTTTCAAAATTACATATAACTTATTTTCAGTCTCATAATTGTATTAAATTATGTCCCCAAATTATTTTCAACTAATATTTTTCTTGATAGAAATGTTGCTAGGGTGCATGTATTTTGTGATGGAAAATACTACACAACCCAAATATAATTTATAAATTGCTACTCAAATGCAAATTATCCATTGGATGAGTGTTGGATAAGTGGATCTCATTAAAAATATTGATGGAACTCAAATATCAAAAAAATGATATACATTTGAGTTACAATTATTTTGAATTTCATTTGAGTTGTATAGCATTTTTCTTTTATAATACTAACAATCATTATATGTACCTTAAAATAGAGTAGGTCTAGGGGTGTTCATAGGTCGGGCCAGACTAGGCCCACTAAATTTTTTTTGGGGCTGCGTCTAGGTAGAGTAGGCCTATGCCCTTATCTAGGTGAGTTATAAAACAGGCTGAACTTCGAGTAGGAGTAAACTACCTGCGAGTCTATTGGCGCGAGCCTTCTGAGCGAGCGTCATGGGCAGGTTAGGTAAGCTTACTCACGGGCTTTTTTTATATTCAACTTCATTTAAAAATAATAAATATTCTTTTATTTTTGAATCAAAAGTAGAGTCAAAATGGACAAAAAATAAATAATGAATAATTTTAATTTTTGAATAGGGGAGGAACTACATTACAATAGAATGAGCACATCCCAACTATGTTAACACCTACCCACCAATTTATCAATTGCACAACTTTGCCCTTTAAAATGAGTTAGCTTAATACATGAAAAAAAAAATTAATACATTATTTATAGTATTTAAATTTCTAAAATTTCAAATTTTGACATTGATGGACTTATTTCAAAGTTTTAAATTTAATGCTCTAACAGTCTAACTTTTTTTTAAATGAAAGGTGGACGGGACTGGGCATGTTCTTGGGCCGGGTTTTTGCGAAAGGGCTATTGAGCCATGTTTCAGGTCAGGTAATGAATTTGGGGGGCAAGCCAAACTCTCTTTTTAAGAATATTTGACTCAGATTCGGACAAGCTAATTATCGGACCTATCAGGTTTGGACCTATGTTTTTTGGACCGAGTAATAAAACCTGTGAATATAAACACTCCAAGTAAGTCCATTTGTGCCTGTGGGACCCATTTACATCCTTAAATCTTTATATCGTGTAGGATGTGACTCAGACTATATTATTTTTTTAAGGATATGAACATATTTTTGGTGTTTTTGGTTCGGTTATATCGAGATTGGGTGATTGATTCTAGTCACATTTATATTAGTTGTAATAATTAATTTATATTTTATCTTATCTTTACTAAACTATGTTTGAATCAAAGTATGCATAAAGCACAGTTTTATTTCCTTATATCTAGGGGGGAGTCAAAGTCCATTTTCAGTGGGGACAATCACTAAATTGAGGAGAATAATTGAAGAACAATCATCAAAATTTATTGTGTCTCGTAAATATGAGTATTTTGTTATTTACACTATTTATAAAGTAATTCTACATTATAATTTTTTGTTTTATTGCTTAAAAAGTTTGTCACGCATAACTTACACGTAAAAAAATACAATCTAATTAAGATAAGTTATATGAAATTTATTTTATAGAAAGTACTAGTATTAGAATGATTTTCATAGAAAATGTTATTTTGATATATCATTCTATAAACAAACTATAAATAGACATGTCAATCATCAAATTTTGAGTAATTTGAATTCAAGTTCGATTTGAAAATTCTATTTTGAATATGATCCGATTATCCACCAAATTTCATCTATACAATTCATATCAATATACATGTCTATTAAATATTAAAAATTTGATCAAAAACTAAATCTTATTATATATATATATATATACACACACACACGTGTGTGCATGTGTTTTTGTGAATCGTTTACGATTCACAATTAGGTCAAATTTTGGCTTATCCAAATCTAAATTCTTAAAATATAATAGTATATGCAAACATGGATAATCAATTAAACATATCAATTCATATATAGATAATTGAATTTAGAGGAGGATGAGTTATTAGTGTGTCATTGTAGAAAGAAGAAAAATAGTTAGAGAGTAAAGAACGAATTGTGAAATTAAGTCTCCTGAACTTTAAAAAAAAAAATTCAGTTGGGGCAAATATTGAAAAATTTTAATTTTCTTATGATTTTAAACTTGCCCCAAAAATTTTCACCCTCCCTCTGCCCCTACTTACATCAACATATGACTTTCTGGCCATTTTGAATATTATTTGTTGTACACTTACATTACACATAAATCAAAACTTTTAACTGTCAACAACATCTTTTCCGGTCATGACTGTAATCATGGTCTTTTTCTCAAGATGTGCAGATGTATGTTGAACCGCTCCAATTGACAATTCATGATATGACATATATAGATGATTTTTAATTCAAAAGAGTACCTCAAGTAACAAGAACGAGTTATAAATTCATATGTTCTAAATTTAAATCTTGACAATTCCTTAAAATCAGACCATAATATATATATATATATATATACATTACCAAAATATCAAGTTGGCTCAATTGTCTTTATCTTGATCCTTATGGGCCTCTTGAATCCTCTATTTCCCTATTTCTTCTTCTTTGATTTATTTTTGTGTGTAATGTGGCTTTTCTTATTTATTTTTTTATAATTGATAGGAATTCTCTTGTTAAGACCCCATAAATCGATTAAAACCTCATACTCATACTAGAACCACGATGATTCAATAAAATAAGCTCAAGGATTCCTGAAGTAAGAACCCTTNGCGCTGAAGAATAAGTTTAGCCACAACAAACTGTCGTACCTATATAAACTTGAACTCAAGTATTGAGCGAGGAAATTCGAGTTTTTACCCATTGAGTCAACAACTCGTTGGTTTAACAGCTATATTTCACTCCCCTTCCTTCATCACTTGCCACCATCGACCAACATAGATTTGACCCTCCGCTCACATCGATGTCTACTGCACATTTGAATCCTGTTGGTCTTTGGTGTCGTCGGTTTTTGCTATTACATCTCGTTTTAACAAGTTGGCCAACGGTAGCCTCGTTTCCCTCATTGCATTTGTTGTCTTGATCTTGTATTCATTGTCTAGTAAGTTATCTCAAAATTTTAATTTCTTGGATTCTTCTGGAATTGGATTTATCGATGGAGCTCCTCTGCAGTTAAGGTCTAACAGCAAAGTTTGATGTTAAGTGGAACAGTGTCGTTTTGGCCAAGAATCCAGTAGCCAACAAAGACACAAACGATGTCGTCAATATCCAGCCCATTTCAGCTCGCTACGACATCGTCTCCCACCTCTACAGAACAAAATGCAAAAATAGCAAAATCGACAACCAAGAATAGTCGGCTTCTTCATCTTCCTTGTTGTGATCCTCGCTCAAACCAATGTTGTTTTTTAGTAATCCTTCGACTACGATCATCTTCGAGCAATCACTCCCCCAAATCGAAGCCCTAACATTGATGTAAGTTTTAAAATTCGAGATTATTTTCGAGTAATCATTCCCCAAAATTTGATTATATAACCTAAATGAGTGATTACATTCTTTGGTTCTTTCTCATTAAGGGGTGAATAATAGTGG